TAGGCAGAAAAGATCACCATCACTGCTGAGAAGGGACGTCTCAGTGAAGAAGAAATCGAGAGAATGGTTCGCGAGGCTGAGGAATTCGCCGAGGAGGACAAGAAGGTCAAGGATCGTATCGATGCCCGAAACGGACTCGAATCATACCTGTACAACCTCAAGAACACTTTGGAGATGACGAGAAGGGTCTTCGTGACAACTGTGCTGCCTGAAAGACAAGAAGGAGCTTACCGACATGAATTGACGGACTTTGGACTGGATGGACGAAACCCAGAAGCTGACAAGGAAGACTACGACGGAGAAGCTGAAGGGAAGTTGAGAATGTTTGCCAACCCATTATTTGCGAAACCTTCTACGCTGCGGGAAGGAGGCGGCGGCGGAGGTGCTGATGCCGACGACTTTGGTGATGATGAATTGTAAGCAGGAGCAAACAAACAAAAAACAAATACCACACAAAAACCATAAAAAATTAGTCTGTATTGTAGACTCTTCTTGTGAAGACGCTTTGGTCTGGAATTTAGTTGTGTAGACTATGGGTCGTAGTCTCATTTTACTGTGCTTCAAAGTGGATTAGTGAAGGTGCTACGGTCCCACAAGAGTATTTGGAAGCAGATAGCTACTATCTATTCTTTAGCTGAAAAAGAGGAAGATGTCACCATGATGGCCAAACAGTCGAGCTTTGGTGACCATCGATCAAGGCTGGAATAAAGCAATGCCCCATTCAATGATATTGCTGGACTTCATCCACTCCCGCCTCTCATCTATCTATCTATTTTTTCTGGCCACCCAAGCCATTCATAAAGCTCTTGAGTCCCTCCAAATCTTGCTCCTGGGTACTGCAGAGCCCTCGGCATTCATTTGGGTCAATCACTTTGCTGGGTGGATTCATTACAGAATCATTCCATGCATCAATGGAATTGACAAAGACATCCCGTGAATTGTAGGCTACCACAAATGTCAACAGAAATCCTAGCACCGCAAAGGCCACCGTTGGCAGCACCACAAAGAGACTCTTATCCATGGTAACTTCTCCCAAGAGTGGGATCTTGGTGGTGGGTGTTTCGGCACTACTACTGGATGCGTTGGGATCTACCCGTGTCAGACTGGCCAAGAGTGGATCCAAACGTTTGGGTGGTGGCGACGGTGGAGTCTTCATCATTTTGGGCGGCGTGGCATGGGATCCACCGTTCTTTGCCTGGCTTTGGTGGGGAACATCTTCTGCTGCTGCTGCATCTTCGCCGCCATCGACATGTATAGAACGAGTGAAGGATGTGCTGATGGTGATGCCAATCGGGCGGCCAATCTAGCATGAGGCGTGCTGAAAGAGAAAGCTCCTTGAACGAGCGATGCCACCAAAAGAAGCGTTGTTGAAAGTCGAAGAGGCATCATCGTTGCTCTGGTCTGCTTTTTTGTTGCAGTTTGTTGTGTTACCGAGTCAAGCTACCTACTGTCAACAATCTTTGGATGGATCCTCTTTTGTGGCATGGTCGTATCTTTGACATGGGACACGTCAGTGCGACGGTTCCCAAAACGGTCCCGAATGAAGCGGGAGCTACCGGTAGATTTTTTTCCTAAGGTTTGATGATGACAGTGATGTTTTTATGATGTTGTTCCACTCCAAGGTCAAGTCTCTCATACTCTACGTCGCTATCGTTCATCACTGTGCACGAGCATTTTTGAACTCAGGAGGCACCGGTACCAGTACATGTCCAACTTCATTGCCCAGAAGAGACAACTTTTTCGAAAGATGGTCCAGCAATCTACAACAGTCGGCAGAACCTGATGACGGCTATTCTTGTCAAGACGACAGTTCTGATTTCCCTGGAGGCACCAGCAGTTCCTTCCAAGGAGCTGGTACCCCTCGGTTGGAATTGATCCCGGAATCGATCCCCCCATTGCTCATGACAGCATTACGAAACAATGATATTCCCCACGTCGATACCGGCTTGGCCGCCATGTGGGAGTTTGCCGGAGGCAACACCCAGCATGTGTTCCAGAACAATCGCACCGACTTTATTCAATCGGCCCATGAAACTGCCAACCAGTTCCCTACATCCTTTTACGGAGCTGCCATGTACGGACAAAAGTGGGAAATGGAAACGCCGTTGAACCGAGTGGGGGGAGACCAAGGATGGATTGCCACGCAAGTCATGAAAACCATTTCCAGTGATGGAAGATTGAGGCGGTGGCAATGGGAACTACGGAAAAATCGGCGACCGCCCAATCAGGGTGTTTGGCTGGTCGAATCCATTGGATCGTCCGATCGAAAGGGCAAATTTGAAGCGGAGGAGGATTAATTAGCCAACAACACGGCCATTCCGTGCTGCCAATCGAATCGAATCAACCAAACCAGCCAATTCTTTGTTTCCGCCAGCTGGAAGCACAAAATCGTTTTCTTCAGGAGTCTACATTGTATCACTGAAACTCTGAAATTGACAAACACTAGAACACCCCAAGAAGGCGTACAGTAGTCACACTGCAGCCAGGTTGGGCCTCAAAATTGGATTGTTTCTCGCGAGCTGAAACATCATCTCCAATTTGAACAGCAGCAGACTAAAAGGAATACTGGGCATGGGCTTTTGTTTCCATTTTCAAAGAAGGGATTGCTGAGGTAGACCAGATCACATACCCCATGGTTTCATACCACTTGCCCACCCAGGTCTTGAAGTAAGTGAGGGCAAGTGTTCCTCTAGTACATGTGGCCTTGTTTGCATCATCTGAAATATTTAGTTCTCAGTAGCCCACTGATGGGTACACATCGACTGCAGATGAGACGCCGTGACCTGACATCTATCCCGTCTGGAAGTGCCCAAACTGGGTTGTCGGCAGCGGCTTCATCATCAGCTCTTTCCAATGGTTCCGGCGTGGTAGCTGCCTTCAGAGCTTGCCGTTTGGCCATCAAGCAAGGAAGTAATGGTCATAACCGTCTGAAGAAAGGCTGGCAGAGGATGGAATTGTCGAGTCGCTATCTCAGACATCTGCGTCCATTTCGGTACATTCTAACGTTCTACTAAAGTATCAGCCTATCGCCCTGGTTTGTCCATTTATGCGAACCTAGCTGGCTGGGGCAGCCAACTCCCCTCGGCTCGATGGAGGACCTCGACCTCGAGGATCCCTGAGGTATTATACCTCTATATCTACAACAGGAATCTCACAGGTCCAGTTGGCTCAATCACGAAGCGATTTGAGCATTCTGGATCCCTTCTTAGTTTCGGGTTGGGGGATTTGATTTGGCGCAAGCTCGGGCCCTCGGGTGTGGTGGAACCATTTTTGTAGCTACTGAAACACAACCACTGAAAGGGTCAGCAAGCCAGTCAAGCAGAAAAAGTGGTACCACCATTGGCGTCTGCAGATTGTTTCCCCCAACCATTGCAGGCAGGTGCTACATATTCTTGACAAAGTATCCAATATCGGCTGCCTTGCCCGCCCAAAAGGGATTCCATCTTCGACCGACATCCTCATATCCTTCGCTTTTGTACAGGTTCAACGCCGGAGGATTCTCTCCATCCACATGAAGGTACATTTTAGAGTATCCCCATTTTGTTGTCGCAATGTCTTCCAGACATCTTACAATGGCGCGGCCAATTTGCTTTCCTCGATAGGTTTCGTCCACACAAAGTGTGCTCAAGTAAGGCTGCAAGTGGTTGGAGCTCTTGTCTTTGGGGATTCCAAGGAAGCTGGCCGCATTTCGTTCTATTTCATCCCACCATGGAAGACTAAAGGGGATCTTGGCATCGCATGGCTTTTCCATTGGCATGTTTGCATGGCGTATGGTGGTTAGTGGAATCATTTTTGAACATCCGCAATGCACACAAATATCAGAACCACCGAACAAATGCCACCCCCTTAGTAGACTCACCTGTAACCTCAGTTCGACAGATGCAATGATGTCAATGTTGGATTCTACGGACTCCCATTTACTAGAGCTGTTGTCATTACTGACACTAGGTCGGGCCAATACAAGCACAAGTGACTTGCGGTTGCAAGCTTCGACCTTTTCCTTATAGGTCATATCTTCTGGTAGTTGAGGTGGGGAAATATCATTGGTGACAGGCACCTTTGCTGCGATTGCTTGCTCCTTTTCTTCCTCGGAAGATGCCAGTATTTCCTTCACAGACGACAGGACCACTCGATCGGCTTGCCGGATACGGAGTCCCCACAAGACTTCGGTAAATGCCGTGACGGCCGTGTAGCCATTGAAAAAGTCCATGGCTGGTTCGATTAGTCTCTTTTCAAAGGCACTGAATTCATTGCTGATCAGGTTGATGGCATCGGCACCAAACGCCTTGACAATGAACAGGGCCACTTCTGGCAAGTCGTTTTCTTCCACAATAAAGAGTTCAAAGGGCTCTTCATCATCATTGCCGGTAGTAAACTTTCCGTCCCGGCTTATACAACACCGTTTCTTGTCGAATGCGGGAGAAAAGAAACTCAGTTCGTCCCCAAATTGTGTCAAGGGTATCAATCGTAGCACAGACTTCTTTGTGGACGTGGGTCGAGTGAAGGATGTTGTCGGCACGAAACCTTGGGCTTTCTGTGACAACAACATCAAGGCAATGAAGTACCATACCCCAAATACGTGAAAGACGCTACATCTTGTCATTGGTCTGCCGTTCTCAAGAAAGAAAGAAGTCAACGGCCTGATCAGAAAGAGAGCTGGTGGTACTTCCAATGTGGACAACTACTGTGGCTGGCTAGCTAGCTAGGGTGCAGTGAAATGTTGGTAGTGGTATCAACGGTGCAGACGCAAAAAGCGGAGAGTTGCGGAAAAAATGAGGCTTGGTTGTCAATGTTCGGAGGACAGCTTCCAGGTGGAAGTACCTTTGCGACCGTATCTACGGTAGGGTTAAGAAGTCTCACGGTCATTTATATGTTTCTCAGTCATCAAATCTTGGACGTGGGAGTCATCGTCACTTTGGAGTGTGGAGACGACATTGGCATGCATGCCAACAGAGGAAGTCAAAGAAGACACTGCTGCTCACCTACTAGTACAGTAATCGTCGACATTTCAACGGCTCCGGTAACCAACTTAACCAGCTATTGGCAACCAGGACCACCAAGCCAAAAGGATTCCATTCAAGGCATCCCACAACTCTACCGTAGATAGCTAGACAATGGCAGAGAAAGAGACCATGACCAGTCGAAGCCCCCTATACCACTCGACCTCCAAGGAAAAACCTCAACTCCTTCACATTACGTTCGAGAGTGACCCGAAGGGTAGTCTGGGGTGTCAATTGGTCAACACAGATAAGGTACGGATGAGCAGAATCTTTGTTTTGTCGATGAGGTTAAGATGGAGGTATCTGCATGTTACAGTATGACATGGGTATCTGCATGTTACCTTAGGCTGGAGTCGAGTCATTGGCAACCAACAGCTAATGCCTCCCCATTATTGTCGTTTTCTTCCAGGGCTCGGATGACCACATGTTTCTGCCTGGTTACGCTGTGATTGGCAAATTATTAAAAGGTGAAACAGTAGCTCGAAAGTTTGACGTTCGGGTGGGAGATGTGATTGTCGCCGTCAATGGCACTGGGTATCGTCGATTTGCCCCAGATTACAAAGAAGCAGATGTCGAATATCTCAACAAGGACGAGGAAAAGGTAGATGTTACCCTCGATAATGCCGTTGTAGCAGCTGGAGAAGCATACAATCAATTGCTGTCCAAAATCAAAGCCATCAAGGCCGCTGCACCCGATCCACCGCTCATCCTCACACTGGAACGATATGGGTGGGACGCCCGCTCCAATTCATGGCCTCGATACTTGGCGGCACGCGATAACAACGTACCCGATGCCATGATGATGCAACAACAGCACGAACAATGGAAATCCGAAATATTCCCCATTGACCTCACAAAGGCCGGCTTGCAGGAAATTTTCAAGCAAAAAGCCATTTGCGAAATCAACATTCATGAAATCAAAGATTTCCCACCCACCGTCTACATCAACTACGGAAAGCTGCAGCAAATGGAAAAAGCAGGAGAAATCACCGCAGATGAGGTTGTGGAAGCCTTTATAATCTTTACCGAACGCTTGCTCGCACATTCCAACGACCCAAGAAACCCAAAAACCTGCCAATTTATTGATCTTTCCGGGGTCAGTATCACGGGAGGATTCCGAGTGGAAACTCTCAAGCGCATTTACAAAATCTTTGAACCAAACTACCCCGAGACACTCTTCAAGATGGTCATGTTCCCCGTATCCAGCATGGTGGTAAGTGGGGTCTGGGTTGTAAGCAACATGTTGCGGAAGAAAGCTGTCCTGGGGCACTTTCGTCGTTGTAGCACTACGGGCTCCTCACTCCTCGTTCTGCCACGCTCTAAACTTTTGCAGGGTCTGACGGCAAGGTCGCTTCTCAGTTTTGTAAATGAAAAGACACAATCCAAGTTCCTCATCACAAACAGCCTAGACAAAGTATGCGAGGAATTGGGTTGGGAGAAACGGGATGTCGACGACTGCGGCGGTATCAAGGAGTTTATGGAGAAGCACGAAAAAGTGGGAGACTCATTTTTGTTTTAAACACACACCGTGTGAAGATCAACTAGCAAATGGCAAAACAGATGGTGGGCATCTGCGGCACGCACCATGTTGCTTTGTGCAGTTGAAGGACGAGATGCAGTCCACCAATGACCCAATTGCAATGTTTGGTGATGCATGTGCTATCATGTTAAAACACACACCAGTCCTTTCGTGGGCGTCACCTCTACTATTGAAGAATGTCTTTTTTATGACTACCCCTTGCTTTCTTCGTCGTAAGGTCGGTCACGTTACCTGTACGGACTGGTTGCCTAATCAGCCATCCTGAGCTTCTGTGCTCTTTGGAACTGTCCTTCCCGCATCTTCCTTGAAGTTAGCTGTCTAATAGAACGAATGTAATTGAGCTCTCCTGGCTGAGATCTTTCCTCGTGATCCTCGGCGTGTGCCTCTTTCCTGCTTGGACCGTCAGTTATCTATGTGTGATGTCGTGGTGAGGACAGGTGGAGCTTGCAAGGCCACATCATGTGCTAACTGTACCGGCATGACGTTACGCAGTCTGAACTTGGAGGGCTGGTGTCTTGCCAGTTGTGAGCGGAAGCCTTGGCATTGGCCCCAGTAGAACTTATTAGGGCCATCCTTCTCCCAATTGCAACCGAGGAACTGAAGGGCTGAATCGAGGAGGGCGGGATCAATAGGTACTGCCAACAGTCTGGGTTTGGTCCAAAGGTGGTAACATACCGTACGGTAGGGGGGGATCCTGTTTAAGGCACCGGTAGCACTGGGGAAATCCCTGAATGGAGCAGCACTGGTGATAGGACTCCACGGAAGCGCCAGTGCAAACTCGAATGCGACTGCTACGTCTTTTGGAACGCGGCTAGTCCTTCTATGCATCATCGTACGAGCTAAGTTGGGCTTCGTGATTTGACGGAAGGCGCCCAAATTGCGAGCTCGGTTTTCCCCTAACCTAGCTAGCGTAGGTTTTCTACCTACGTTATAGCGTACGGTATCATGGATCCTAGTACTACTAAAAATGCATAGTTTCTCAAGTCTAAGGTGGGGTGGAGAGTCAGGGCGAAGCACAACCGGGGAGGTTCGTCATGTTGCGCAGCTGGGTAGCTGTCAGCATTCGACCTCGAGGCAAACAAACAAGCGTGCAGGATGGATCACCGTCGTTCCCACCGGATCAATAGGCAGTCAAAAAAAAGAAGGATCTGCCAGCTGGCTGTCGTCGAACTAACTGCTATGTCCAAGCAAAAGAAGCGAGTCGAATCGACAGGGTAACATTGTGTCGTCTTCTGGCTAGCTAGTAGCTCTTCGAACAGTACGGTACAGCATCCAGCATCCAACTCACACCCACGTGCCGGGTCCGAGTTGTGTGGGTTTCCCTTCGACAATGATTTTGGCAGAGCATTCCGAGAATTCATAAAGCAAATCGTCCGGATCGACACCCCCTGGTTCACTGTTGTTGTCATCATCATCGCCGCTGTTGTCGCCACGTGGACTAAAGCTATTTTGCATTTCTTCTTGGTATCGATCCCATGGATTCTCCTCTTCTTCGTCGTCTTCCGACGAGGGTGTTTTGTGCAGGTACTTTTTGGCGGCCGCCGCAAACGGATCGTCGTCGCCACTTTCCGACATGTACTTGTTCATAAAGGTCGACGACGACGACGACGAGGGAGTGTTGTTGCTTGGTGTTGGCGTTCGTTTGGGTGGTTTTTGAAAGGTCTCATCTTTTGGTAGATTCTTGGTGGCATCCTTGACACCCTCTTTGAGAATTTCTTTCCAAACGAGTTGTGCCTGCCAATCGCGACAAGCGAAATAAACGTTAATGAGGACACTCATGGCCAATCCGACGAGAATTCCCTGTACGAGCGCGTCCTTGGCTCGCTCCTTGTGGGTGCTATTCGCATTTTCCTGTTGTTGTTGTGGTGTGGTTTGCGCGGCCGTCGGAGCGGCAGTGGGTATTTTGGTGACGGGTGTAGTGGTAAATTGATCGGGAAAGGGTCCATCTTGAGGATTGTTTTGTTGTGTTGGAAATCCGACCAACGTACTGGCGGCATATTCGGCAAAGGTAGTTCCATCGCATTGCAAAAACCAGAGACAGTACCGGACATCCGTACAGTCTTTGCAAAAGTCGCACGCCACCGGTTGTTCGTCTTGAGGAAAATTGGCACAAATGGCTCGAAAGATGCGTCCCGTACTGGGAGCGCCCGCTTCGGAATACCAGAATTCGTTGATTTTGAGTACGGGAATACGTGCGACCGTCAATGGTTTGCCACCCGCCAGTTGTTCGTCCAAGTAGGGATTGTCCACATCCGCCTCCAGTCCGTGTGTGTGATTCATGCAGCGTTCAATGAAATGCGTGCCAATGCCGAGGCGATTCATAATAGAGTAGGTGCAGTTCTTGCCAAAGGGTTTATTGCTGTCTTCTTGGCACTGGGAAAAGCCACTGTCGCTAATGTAATTCCAGAAATGAAGTTGATTGCGTCCTCCTGTCTTGCCATAGACGACCCAGACTAATAATGGTAATAGCATGATAATAGATAGAAACAAAGCAACCAATGTAAGCTTCGATAGATAGATAGACAGTCATATAAATATAAATATATGTATGTACGTACCGCACAATCTCCGCAGTGTCTCTTCGACGATATCCGCTCCACTGATGCGCGCCGCCAAGGAGGGATCGTCGGGTCTCGTCGGAGCGGCACAGTAACGTCCGTGATTGGTACAGTTTTGTCGACATTCCGAGTTTTCGTCTTCCACGCCGCGGCATCCCACATCACGGCCATCGACCAACAAATAACGGGGCGAAAAGACGACCAATTTCTTGTCGAGGCGTCGGACAATTCCCTTGATCAGATAAAACAGCGGCTGCAAAAAGTCGTCCGTCGTCGACCACAATTCCAACGTCACCGCCGGAGCTAGCGCTTGACCCAGCAGTAGGGTCTGTGAGGCATTGTCGGTCGGGTATTCCACGTACGATTCCAACGTTTCTTCGTACGGAACCAGGACATGACCTTCGTTGGCATGGACTGTGTTGACGAATAATAGCAACAGCAACAGAAGACACACCGTTAACCTGTGGATCATGCTGACAGATGAAACGTTGTTAGGGGGTATTCTTATCATGGTAGAAGTGCAAGCGGCAGGTCCAGCCATTGGACCAGTCATCTTGATTGTTGGTTGTTGCTTGCTTGTTGGTTGTGGTTGTTGTGTTCTTGCTTGGAGGGTGTTGTAGCTGTGTTGTCTTGCTTGCTCCTCGTGAAAAAACGAAAACCATCCAAGATTTATTGACAGAGACATCACAAAGAACAATCATTTCAAGTGGATTTAACGAGAACGTTCTCATCAACATTGGAGAATGACTCCACGGCACGCACATGCAACCGTGGCACAGTATCGTGGACCAGCATCCAAAGCTAGCTAGCTAGGGAGCAACAGCCAAAAAGGGAAGCAGCCAAGAGGCAGCTTGCAGCAGGGCTCCAAACCCTCTATCAATACAGTACATTCAAAACAGCAGGATGGATGAAGCTAACAATCGGTTCTGTATTTCCACTGCAGGCAGGTTTATGGCGTCGGGCGGCCACCATAAATTCTTCTACTTTGTCGGTTGGTGCTTTACAGTACCATGCATGCCTCAGGAGCTCAGGGCGAAAATAAAGAGGAACTAGAAGGCTATCATAGCGGAGATGTGGGTGCTGCATTAAACCTGGCCTCTGACCTTCGGGTTGAAAAACAATTTTATTAATTGGAACGGAACATTCCCTTCAAGAGCTAATTGTGTGAAATAAATGCCTCCATTGTTCCGTGAAATTGGAAAATCCCGCCGAATCCAGTGCAAATGGATCTTGGGATAGAAAACGAACCAATGCTTTGGGTGGCCACGAGCCAAGTTCAACACTATTTAAGCAGAAGATGCCGCTGACAATACAATGACCAATGAATGACATTTTGTACATAATGGAATGACCAGAGTTTCGTCAGCAACTGTGTTTGAGTGTCTGAGTGTCTGAGTAACTTACGAGGTAAACGACTTTGGATTGCAGCTGTCTCGAAGTTTTCCAAAGGTGAGGTTTCGGCAGAAAGGACCTCACCTCATAATTTTGGATCTTTCGCAATTGCCAGCCGTCAAAGCCTTGCAAGTAACCATTCATTCATAGTTAACTAATTGAACCATGACCATCCTGCTCAACTCTCTCTCCTGTCTAATCCTTCTGTCCATCGCAGTTGTGGCCACGTCTTCGGCCTATGGCCACCTTCGGAAACGTCCATCGGAACCTTCGGAAGAGTTTGTTTCCTTGTCCATCACTCTGGAAATCACCATGACGCCTCGCCCCTCCTTTGTCGCGGCCATGGCGGACAGCACCATTGACTCCCGTGCTGGTCAGTGTCTGATCAATGCATTTGAAGTCGTCGGACAGCCTCGTCGTCCCAATACTGACCCACATGTATCCCTCTCTACCATTGATGTGGCACATCGAATTTTCGGAACGCCCGCCATGAGCCCCGCCACCCAAGGCCAAGACAGCACCAAAGCCGCCACACCAGCCACCACCACAGTCCTCCTGGATGAACCTGTCGTCACAGCGACACCACTGGTGGTCGAGCAAGACGACAATGACAATGACAGCGTTAACAGCAACGACACCAATGACAGCGACCATGATGAGGATGACATGAACAATGTCATCGTGCGAGTGATTTACTCCTTGTTATCCAAGTTTGGACTGGTCCATCAAGAAGAAGATCCCACTCCTCTGGTTGACAGCGCTACCAGCAGCACAGCCCCAACGGCTGCCCCTACAGATTGGAATGCTTCCAGCGCAACTGCGTGGAAGAGTCCAGGTCCTTCCTACACTCTAGGAGGGTGTCTGCTCTGTCCCAGTGAAGATGATGTTCCTGCCATTGAAGAGAGCAGCACCATGGAGTACTATGCGGATGGATACGCGGAGGATGGTCAAGAAGGTGATAGTATTATTATGGAAGACGAAGAGGCTCTCGAGACACTCCTGATGCGGGACGACGACGACGACGACAACGACATGGTCATGGTGGGTACCACGACGACCGACATGTCACCCTCCCAAGGACAAGCCCGCAGTTCTCTTCCTTCCCAAGGCGCTTGCGGATCGCTCTGTCCACCAGAAGACGAAGATGACGATTCCGAACATCGTCGTCAATTGCAAGCGCAGCCTCGCGTTGTCTGGACCATTCATGGTCTCATGGAATCCTTTCTGGTGCAAACTTCTCCCATTGAGGACAATGGTCAAGATATCGTGTGGAACGCCTTTCGAGCACAGACGGATATTCTCGAATGGGCCGAGTTCTTTTGCGACTGCTTTGTCGGTGGCATTGTGGTGGACGAAACGGATGACTTTTTCTCGAGTGGTGGGGCGGATGACCGTTCTCCGATCTGTCAGATTCACATCCAGCCAGAGTTCGTTTAGCCATTCATCAGCAGGAAACAGCTTTGGGTGTCAGTCTAGCTAGTAAGCAAGACGGGCTACAGTTTGATGGGGATGGATTAATACATACATACTTACTTACTTAGCATGCTTATGAATATCTGGTTTTCTACTACGATTGTCTTGTTTGGACCTTGTTAGCCGGGCTCCGTTTGAGCAAACAATGCAATGACACAATTGCGTGAAACCTTCACGTTCAACAATCTGCGGATGTTGACTCCTTCTTCTCCTCGGGCGGGGCTTGCTCAATGTCGGTGCTAGGCGAGGCTTCTGTTACATCCGATGTCGTGGCAGGAAGGTTGCTTGCCGCAAGTCCAGCAGCATAGGAGTGATTCAGTTCATCAGCTGCTTGCTTTTGTTGTCGCTCTTCCTTTTTGATGGCTGTCAATTTCAAATCCTCCTCGTTCACGCCTCCTTTGTACCCGCGGTTCAGCTCTGCGGCTGCCTCTTTCTTCAACCTTTCCTCTTTCTTTAGTTCCGCCAACTTTAGATCGTCCTCCTTCACTCCTCCCTTGTACCCACGGTTCAACTCGGCCGCCGCCTCTTTCTTCAGCCTATCCTCTTTCTTTAGTTCGGCTAACTTTAGATCGTCCTCCTTGACGCCGCCACTGTAACCAAGCAGGTTTTGGTCAGCTTCGATTCGACCTTGTCGGTCCTCTTCTTTCATGGCCTTGTCCCTGAGGAACTGGGCATCCAGTGCCTGGGAGTTCCTACTCAGTGATTCATGGTTGTAGTGAGCCGCATCTTGTTCCGCCTTGCGGGCCTCACGCTTAATTTCCGCTAACTTGAGATCCTCTTCTCGGACTCCGCCTTTGTATCCTCGGTTGCTTTCTTCAGCAGCTTGCTTCTTGAGACGTTCTTCCTTCTTGAGCTCTGCTAGTTTGAGATCCTCTTCTCGGACACCGCCTTTGTATCCTCGGTTGAGTTCCTCCACTTCCTGTTTTTTCATTCGCTCCTCCTTTTTGATCTCGGACAGTTTCAAGTCATCTTCATTCACACCACCCTTGTAGCTGTGTCGCATCTTATTTGCCGCCAACTGTTTTTGACGTGCCTCCTCCTTGATGGCCTTGTCGCGCAAGAATTGAGCATCGCAGCCCTGTGACGCCTTGCTCAGACTCTCATGCATAAACTTGGCCGCATCAGCATGGCTCTTTCGTGCCTCGCGCTTGATCTCTGCAAGTTGGATGTCAGTTTGATTCAAGCCACCAAATTGAATTTTGCGCATTTGCTCGGCACAGTCGCTCTTGCGCCTGCGCTCCTGTTGCTTGAGCGCTCGTTGACGGGCTTGAAAGTCACCCAGGCCCATGGGAGCTGCCGTGTTGGTTTCGACTGTCAAACGAAAGAGATGTGCATTTAATCATTAGAGTTGAAAACAGTCTCTATCTGATCCAAGCAATAATCCACTTACACATGGATGTATCCAACGGCATGTTGCCTTGCTTTCGATGGTCGTGATGTGGTGATGGTATCTTGTCTCTTCGGAAAAGGCAACCTCTGTTCTGGTGATTGTGGGATCGAGTGATCGAGTTACTTCTGGATGCTCTTCTTGCCTGTGCAAATTCAGAGTTCTCGTTGCCTCAGCTTTTGGGAGAGAACCCAACCTCTTCTCATCGTCTTCAAGGTCCTGTCAAGGTGGTGGTCACGGGAGGATCCAGTAAGATTGCGCAAGACTTCAATTCTGTGAGCAACATTAGTTCGGCTTGTGGGGGACGTGGAAACCTGTTCATCGTGGAGATATTAGTAGCTGTGATACCGTCACCTAAGGTGGAGGCAACCAACCAGCTGTTTGAGATTGGTTCCACCGGAGCTGACCTGATGAGCAAGATAAAGGGGGTTTTAGAGTAGGGAAATTATAAGTGATGCGTCGTTTCAAGACACAATTCGATGCGGCTGCCTACGAGTCGTTGCGGCTGCCTATATCCCGACAGAGTGCGAAGCAAGAACCCCACTGGGCACAAACCGCAGGAGGTGATGAAAGCCCGGCATTGCAATGTCTGATGCTGACCATCAAACGATACTATCTCGGGCTTGGTATATGCTGGTATTGCGGCGGCCGATATCTCGGGCTTGGCTACGGTTTGACATTGCGGCGGCCGCCAGCATCAAGATGGTCGTCGCGCCGAGGGCTCTGGAACAAAGAACGGGGAAGTGGTGGTGGCTTGCCTAACTTGCTCTGTCACCAGTCGTGACCTGGGCGATAGGAACGGATCATTGTTGTGCTGTCGTTGAGTGCTTCGAAGCGTTTCGAGTGTGCTGGCTGGCTATCGTCATCATGCACATTCTCTTCCGCGACGACTCGTCACTCGTTTCTTCCGAGATCGCATTTGCGGTGGAGTAATAAGGAACAATAGCAGCCACATTACCATGCACAGGAGACCAGGAAAGAGCACCGGTACACCATTGGGAAGGCTAAAGTTACTGTGTATTATAAGTTGTTACCAAGGCATAGC